CTATTATTAATTGTCACGATGCATAGTGCTTGTTCTGTGTCGAATCGTACGGTGTCGAATAATTTCGTGTCGAATCGTACGGTGGTCAATCGTACCGTGGTCAATCGTACCGTGTCGAATCGTACAGTGTGCTATTCTTGCAGTGTCCAATCGTACTGTGGTCAATCGTACCGTGTCTAATCGTACGTGTCCAATAGTACGTGTGCAATCGTACTGTGTCCAATTGTACCGTGGTCAAACGGAATACGCCCCATGCAGACACCGGCGCTTTGACACCGAACGTTGATTGGTGAAAAGCAGGTGGTGAGGGTAAATTAGAACTGCCATTTACCCTCACCATCCTCTTTTCACCAGTCAACTCTCGATGTCAAAGCGCCGGTGTCTGCATGAGGATTCAGCCTAAGCTCTATGGTATCAGAGAGAAGCCTGAGAGCGGCCATGCCATTAGGTGCGTTCAGACAACTCAACAGTTGCACAACGGTTGAGAGATAATCACTTCTGATTGGATCGTACTTTTGGAACCGCACCAGATTTTGAAGAATAATCCTATCATAAGCGATGATCTCTCAACCGTTGAGTTGTCTGAACGCACCCATTGTAGTTTCTTACGACGGTTTCAGCCGCTGGTTTTAGCCGTATTTCCACAAAAGTGGAACTCAAAGGCCGTTCTCCACGAAACTCAAGTCGGAGGTCTCGTGGAACCGATCAATCACGTTGGTCGATTGGCTGATTTGACTCTGCAATTGGTCAATTCCACGAGATCTGAGACTTGCGTTTGATGTAGAACGGCCTTTGAGTTCCACTTTTGTGGAAATACGGTTAAAACCAGCGGCTGAAACCGTCGTAAGAAACTACAATGGCATGGCCGCTCTCAGGCTTCTTTCTGATGGTATAAACCGACTGGTGACCGTGATAAAAAACCTCAGTAAAAAGAACAGGCCGAGCTGCAATTAAGTGCAACTCCGGTTACACTGCAATCTGCATCTGCGTTTTATGTAGAATGGCCTTTATGTAAAAGATTTGAAGTGCGCAAGTAGTCACTTGCGCGGATGACGCGCATGCGCATATTATGCATGGCTAGCTTATCGGCTTTGGAGGGGCGTCGAAAGGTGGCCATATTGTACAGTTAAATTGAAAGAACAAAAATAATTGTATTGCTGTAGCGATCGCGTTCGCGCTGTTAGTTTCATTATTTTTGTATTTTGTGTCGACAGCGACGACATCGACCGGAGGTGTTGCGCGTCGCGACGACGCCGAGAACAACGCAACTGATCGGTCGCTCTTGATCCGCTTGTCTCTTTTCATTCTCTTTGTATATACATAAGTCACACATCGCGCAGTAGTGCGAGTCGATTCTAGGGTCATCCGACGTTGTTTGCTCGAAAGGTGCTTGTTGCTTGCCGCTGGTCGAAATGGGTACTCGGGACGACGAGTATGATTATTTATTTAAAGGTAAATTTTTCTAATTGTTCCCAATATATGTTCGAATTTAATGTGCATTCGGCAAGATGCCCTCCTTGCAATCTTGCTTCTTTCCTCTTCTGTGGTATTGCGATTTACAAGAATCGCTCCCATTTCCGCCGCAGCTGATACGTATACTGACGTATACGTCACTCGACCGAACGTCATTTCGCACGGATATATAGAACGGCTGCTTGATCTCGCTTGCGATAAGCGCGCGATGATATTGGAGACGATGATCCGGGAGTCGTCCATCCGCGGCATCGCACCCCGCGATGTAAGCGAAGCAACTTTCTCGACGATGGCTTGTCGCAGTCACCGATTTCGACATCTTCCTTTGCATGACTCGCTTGATCGCTTCTTTTGTCCCTCGGGAATACGCCCGCAAGTACGAGTCGTGATTGTAGAATTGTGTGTGTAATTTGTGTATACAAGCGCGCGACATACAAGTAATATTCGCATTATACGATTGTGTGCGTGTCTATCTACAAGGGCGTTGCGTGCATTTGCATGTATATGTAAAATTTCTTTCGGCCTTGTCATTCCGCATCATCTGCACTTTCCTAAGAGAGAGAGAGAAAAAGAGGAGAGGAGAAAAGAAGAGAGAAGAGGAGAGGAGAGGAGAGNAGAGGAGAGGAGAGGAAAGGAGAGGAGAGGAGAGGAGAGGAGAGGAGAGGAGAGGAGAGGAGAGGAGAGGAGAGGAGAGGAGAGGAGAGAAGAGAAGAAAAGAAAAGAAAAGAAAAGAGAAAGAAAGAGAAAGAGAGAAAGCGAGCAAGCAAGCAAAGATTACTATAAGTGGTTGTCAGCTGTGGTGTATTTAGTTTCCAATCTTTTTAAATAATTTTAAACAAATAATTTCAGTCTTATTTGATTACTTTAGAATTCATTAACTTCATCTTAACCTTTACATATAGTTATGTATTTAAGTATGTCAAAATCACAATCTGAATGCACAATATTATGATAAGTTTAGCTATTTAGTTTTCTTGTATTTTTATAATGTTGTGTATTATCATAACAGATACTATATAACTTATCTATAACAGATATTGAAGACAATATTATGCTATTAAAAATTCTGTGTGTGTCTGTGTATATTACATGTACATTTCAACTTATATAAAACACAAAAGAGATTTCTTAAAAATTTTACCAGAATATCAAATGAAATAAATAATATACCTTGTTTATCATATTTTGTTTTCTAAATAATAATTTGTAGGAAAAATAATAGTACATGTATAACTAAGATATGACAATGATTTACTAGCAATAGTCTACTACAATTTTATGAAAAGTTTTCTGTATAGATAAATAATTCATTTTAAATATTTACTATATTTTTAAAGATTGTGAAGTATTTAAAAAATATATAAAACTATTTTGTAATTTATGACATAAACGTTTACATTTAAAATCTATATATAAATATATGTTTCAAAATAATGGATAACTAAACTTTGCTTATTATCTTTAGATAATTATTATAATTATTATGGCAACGCTGCTTAATATATTACAACAATAATAATAATGAAATAGTTTGATATTGTGATTCAATATAAAGAAAACAATATACAACTTAATTAGTCTATTTCTCTTATTAAATGGCAAATCAATATCAAAGTTTAATCGTTGATTAACATTTCTCTAATCAATTCTTTTTGTCTTTCCAGTTGTTCTCATTGGAGATTCCGGAGTAGGCAAAAGTAATCTTTTATCTCGATTTACCAGAAATGAATTTAACTTGGAATCAAAGTCTACTATTGGAGTTGAATTTGCAACACGCAGTATACAAGTAGATGGTAAAACCATTAAAGCCCAAATTTGGGATACAGCTGGACAAGAGCGCTACCGTGCGATTACATCTGCGTAAGTTTGACTTTTTATCTTATTTCACATATTTAATAAATACTATATAAAATATAACATATTGTATATAATATAGATTAATATCATATTTTGACACACATGAGTCGATATTATTGTATCAGTTAAACTAAGTTTTTATGATATTGCTAATAAAAACAGGAACTAGAAAGAAAAAAAAGAAGAAACTTATTTTATTATAAGATTGACCTGATATTTTTATATATATATTTGAGAGATTTATAATATAATACTAATAAACTTTTCAATTATTAGATATTACCGTGGAGCGGTTGGTGCACTGCTTGTGTACGATATCGCAAAACATTTGACATATGAGAATGTAGAAAGATGGTTACGAGAATTACGGGACCATGCTGATCAGAATATTGTGATCATGTTAGTGGGAAATAAATCAGATTTAAGGCATCTGCGTGCTGTTCCAACTGATGAGGCTAAGGCATTTGCCGAAAGGAATGGCTTGTCTTTTATTGAAACATCTGCTCTAGATTCTACTAACGTTGAAACAGCATTTCAAAACATATTAACAGGTAATACAAATCTTGATCGTGACATCACACACATGTGTGTGTACGTGCGTGCGTGCGTGCGTGCGTGCGTGCGTGAGTGTGTCCGTAAATCAATAAGAATTGATTGAATTGTTGGGCAGTATAAACCATGTAATCCGGCTAACATTTTAGTATCTGTTTTTATAAAACTAAAGTACATATGTTTACAAAATTAATACAGTATTTTATATATATTATTTATTCTTTAGATGTTTAGATTTTCATGAATAAATTATATTTATAAATTTTATTTCTTAATATAGATATCATTTAATAATATCTATTTTTATATAAGTTTATTTATCTTAATAGTGCAGATTGCAATATTATATTCGAAATAATTTATACGTTTGATTTTTTTTATATTTTATTTATCATATAAAAATATTATTGTGCAATAATAGTGTTTTAAATTTATATTGTTATAAATATATATTGTTTATTATAAAAAATTTTAAAATGTTTATCACGTTAATAGTGATATTTTATCTAACATAAGATTTGTTTTTATAGAAATATACAGAATCGTATCGCAAAAACAGATACGAGACCCACCTGAAGGTGATACAATCCGGCCACAGAATGTAGAACAAATTGAAGTCAAACCAACAATGAATGCTGAGGGAATGCGTAAGCAGTGCTGCCAGTGACTCATCTTGTTGCTTAAAATGTGTGTACACGCAATTATAGTATAATTACTATGGAAATACAGTTGGATAATATCTAATTTCTTATGAAAAAAAAAAAAAAAAACATTTTGTTTACGATGCAGTAAAGTTTCTAAGGGATAATGATTATTTGTATAATAGAATATATAGACTTATAAACTAAGGAAATCGTGGTTAGTTTATTATACAAATGTTAACTTGATATTGTAAATTAAGTTAATTTTATCATATATCAAGATTAAAAATTACTAAAGATGTTTCCAGCATGTTTTTTCTTCCAACAGTGTTCTAAATGCTGTTACTTTCATATTGATAATAATCTCGAGACACACTCAATCTTATTTCTACCATAATTATTAATACTCACATATTTAATCTTGTAATGAGAAGATTGAAAAAATAATCAGAATTATTGTGTTATTGTTGTAGTAATTTTTGATTCTTATAGTTAAATTTTTTAAATGTTATGTTGTAATGAGACACACACACATGTTACTGAATACATATTAAAAATTATTCTAATAAAGAGAAATATAATTTGCTTATATATTATTAAATATTTCAAAATATATATATAGATAATTTTATATAGTTTTCCTCTTATCAATTTTAATTTGCAACATTATACAGTATGTGTATATGTAAAGGAAAATTTATTAATAATTAGTAATAAATATTGATTATAAAAAAGGAATATATTACAAAATATTTTGCAAAGTGTAGATGTTTTTTTATGCCATTGTGAAGAAAGCTAACGTAAATGTGAGTGTGATTCTGAATCATTATAGTTATGTAATGTAGGTTTTCTAAACAACAGGCATCACACAAATAGTACCACAATATTCGTAGTTATATTCATATATCTTTGTATTCTTTTTAACTTAATTTTTTCTTCTTATTTTTGGTTTTTTTTGAGTGAACAATTTAAACATCATACAAGGTCGTGTCCAAAATCATTGATCCATATGAATTTGTTTACTTAACATTTTCTCAGAAATTGAAGTCTGATGTTTCTATCATGTATATATGAGATATGCATACATATGGACTTCATTTTTCTTCCTTATTAAACAAATAACTTTAACTAAATCTTTCGACTGGATTTCTGTACTCCTTGTAACACATATGCATTATTATTTGCTTGCGACAATATGTTGTCAATTACTTGTATAACAAACATTGAAACATTATTTGACAAGCTTCAAAACGAGTAAAAATTGCAAAATAAGTTTGTTTTTCAAATCTCAAAAAAGAATCTTAACTTACTTGTTTACGTTCATATTTGAATAAAGAGTACACATTACACCTTTTCGCGCACACACACATATCATCATCATCATCATCATCATCATCATCATCATCATCATCATCATCATTAGAAATGGTCTAAGAAAATTACATAGAAAGTGAAAAAGTCTATGATGTAGCCAAAATAATACAATTGTGTATGTGTGTGTACTATATATATTAAAATACATACGTACGTATGTACGTATTTTTCATTATTTATATTCATCTTGTAATTTTGTTGCTATTTGTATACAATAAAAATAAATAACTATGTTAGTAATGTTAGTTGTTATTACTTATCGTTTTACATAAAATTTAAGAGAGTCTTGAGAAAGAATTATTTAATTTTTTATTTTACAGAAGCAGTCATACGGAGAAGAAAAAAGCGGAAATACTAGCTGATGGTAGATACAACAGGTGCATAACAGAACGAGAGTCAAGACTATATGCGCAAGCATGTAATCTCGTATACTAGAGGAGGATTTTATCTCCATCAGTGGCAAAACATCGATTAATACACATATGTGTAACGCATTACATGCTCTTGGAATTAATCAAGTAAGGACGAGCGTCGAGAAATTATATTGATGCAGTGAACGCAAATACTTACATACACTATTCTGTCCGCGAAAAAGATCATCTTTACTCTCTGTCTGTCTCTCTATTTGTCACAATATAAATTATATTATAATAAATAAATGTTGTATTACTGCTTCTTTGTAATACATATATACATATTAACGATTCTTCTTAATGCGTAACGTGACTATGAGTATGTGAAATTTATAGTCATATATGCAATGAAGTATCGTGAAATAAGTACTATTATGCACTGCATAGAAAACAAATATGATATAGATACTGGGCTTACACAGCGGATAATAAAAAGATAAAAACGGCGAAATTGAGATGATCATTTCTCATTGCTCACTCTTGGCTCTCTTCGTAAGTGATGGTACTAGAATGTATAAGCTTGGGCACTACCTGCTTCTCTTTCTCTCTCGAGATTACCTTTTACCGTGGAACTAAATTTTTCTATTGGCTGTATCCGGTATAAAAAAAGCTATATAAGGAAAGTTGTATAAACATTTTTCAAAATCTAAAACTATGATTAATTGCTTTCTCTGTGGCTATATTATTAGTTATTGCGTCTTACTAGCTTTTATTGTATCCTAAACAAAATATAGAAAATGAATATAAAATGTTTAAGTATTTACTTCTCGTATTTACTTCTCTTTTATGTTGAAGATCAGTAAGTTTTAAATCGCTTCATCACTTATATAAATCTTTAGAAAGATTATTTGAAAAAAAAACATGAAATTAAATAAAAGATAATAGTATGAACGTTCAACCTGATTTACATAGTACATATAATTTTTATTAATGCGAATATATCCTTAAGTTGTAATTAAAATGAGAAATAACGCGTTATTTCTCGAAACAATCTTATAAAACCTGATGAGATAATCAAGTGTAATTATACTATTTGATATATAGCAAGATTATATTACTTTATGAAAGACAAAACTCAGTACTGTGTATAAGCAATATTTAAAGTGACCATAGTTTTCTACATATATCTTTGACTTATATTCTGTATCCGTAGGCTATACAATTCACTTAGGGAAAACAAATTTCAATTTTGTTTACAGTAGTAAAATATATTTATACTGTTAAAAAATAATATAAATATAAAATATATAATTATTTTTCATCTTCAGTTGAGATTTGAGTATATATATAAAAAGGGTATAATATATCTATATATAAACATATAGATTATTATTATCATATTATTACTGCCTTGTGTATTTCGTTGTTTTATTAATAAAATATCAACTTTGCTTTTAAAAGACCAATGTTTATAATTTTTAAATGCTTACAAAATGTAATTTTCACACATTTTTCTGCTGTAATAAATGTGACAAAACTAATCGCCTCCTTGACAAAACGTAAAATAGAAAATAATGAAATTATACAAATGTCACACTGCAAAAAGAGACTACCTTATACAAAACAGTGTTTAATAATCATTATCTTATTTAAAGAAAATGTACAGCAAAACATCACTTATTAACATGAGTAGACTTTGATATATAAATATATGTACACATAGAGAGTAAATGTTTTTACCTTTTAGCAGGTCAAGAGTAAATAAGAATAATAAACAATAAATTTATTTTTATTTTTTCACACTGCTACCTAAAATTAAGAAAGGCTATGGAGGTGCAGGTAAAGCTCCTGGTTCGAGACGAATAGTATTTCTCTGAGAATTTCCGTGACTTTTTTGTCGCCATTCAAGCCATCGCAATAATTCTGGACTTTGAGAGGTATCATTAATATCACTTCGAGCTTCTATCTGTTGATAATACGCTTCTCGAAGAAGTCGAAATGTCTGCACATTTTTGTATGGCAATTGTGTCATGGGATCCAAATATTTAGCGGGCAACCTATTCAAATAAATTACACTTTTTTTTACTTTTTTAAGATACATATATACGTCTTAAATCTATATATATATATATTTTACACACATGTTCAAAATTGTAATATTATTTCTTATTTGTATAAAAAAAAGGTGGTTTTTACCGTGTAATTGCGCATAAAGGTTTTAATGGAGGCCTTTGTTGTGTGGATTTCTTAAATACATCAAGGAATGAATGTTCATTTTCAAAAGTAATAAATGTGCGTTCATAAAAAGTCCCAGTTTCTTCGGCACGAACATCTGTCTTACCAGAGGCAGATAAATTCGACTCCGCAGATTCCTTCTTATTTTTTTCATCCACTTTTAATTCTATTCCACTAGTAAATAAATGACATAAATGTTATTAACTGTTCAAATTCAAGGTCTTGTGTTCAAAAAACTTTTTTTTATATACTATACATGTATACTATGTATGTCCACACACATTTATATTTTGTAACACAAAAAAATATACCTTTTTTCCTTTAAAGAAATGTCAGAACTTGTATTATTAGAGGCTTTATCTATTTTGTTCTCATCACATTCAACATTAATTGTTTCACTTTTCTTTTCTACATATGTTTCAGACAATATCATAATTGGCATAGACAATGACTGATATCTAATCATTGGCCCAACATGTGTTTTTCGCACAGTTCTCGTAGTCTTTTTTTCACTTTCTAGTTTCTGATACTTTTCTACAATATGTTTAAATGTTACAAATATAAATATAAAATATTCTTAAAAATGCCTTCTTTAATATTCTTTTAAAAATATTCTTCATATTTTTCTATGTATTTCTTATACTTCTCTACATATTGTTTTTCTTACTCACATGGTTTTTTTAAAAAACTGTTTTAGAGAGTACTCTATTTAAAAACTATTTCATTTAATTCTTAATCCAGACATTTAATAATTAAAAAGATATTAAACAAAATTGTATACAAATTTGATATATATACATATATATTTTTTTTTCATACCCAATGATTTCATATTAATTTCTTCTGTTTGTAAGGCTTCTTCCAATAGCTCTTCCTGTGTTGGTTTCCATACAGTGTGCTTTACAACTTTAATCTTTCTTCTTTGGTCTTCAGTTCTTTCACGCAGGCGTTTTTGTGTAGCAGCTGATTTTGCAGCTGTAGATCGACGTATTGATTTTCTTTCTGTATACACAATAATATTTATATGTATAAAACCATCAAAGTATAATATTCTGGAAAATTACACTTCTGTAAAAATAATTATTACATTATTACCTATACAATCTAGAAAAGTTTTATCTTGTTTTGATTGCTTGATCTTTTTTTCTTTAAGTGTTGGTTGAGCATGGGATGTGACAGATTTAGGCTCTTTATAAGCTTTTGTTATTAATCTACGTTTCTTCTTTGGCCCTTCTTGTTCAGTATCAGAAACTGGTTCATCATTCTCATCAATGCTAAAATCTGAATCTACTTCATCTTCTCCTTCATCTTCCTCCCTAAAATTAAAGTTATTATCTGATTGATCATCGTAAAAATTGCTTTATATTTCTTTTCATAAAATGTATTTTATATAAGACTTTATATAAGAGCAATTACAAACATGTAATCGTGGTCCTGTTCTACTTCATCAAAACCACCATATGTAGTTTTATAAAAATCATCTTCTTCCTCTTCATTTAACAATCTTGCCATTTTATTGCCAGCATTTACACGCCTTTCCCTTGTTGCAGCCATCGTTATAAAATTGGCTTTCAGTTCCCAGTACAATATACTATTTAATGTTTATTATATTCGAAAACCTTTAAGGAAAATAATATACAATCACAATATATTACACTTTTTCTTTTTTATTGCTTGTCAAGAAGGCAAGCTTGCATTCAGGTTAGATTATTTATTATTCACGAGTTTTAAATTTTGTTCACAGGCTGCGTTCCGTTTCACGCATATGCGCGCATGTATCTATAATACACGTTACGTATAGTATAGATAAATACGCGCATATGCGTGAAACGGAACGCAGCTACAGTTTTATTTGTAAGTTACACATATATTAGTATATATCATGCAAATATTACACTATCAAAACTTATATGTCAAAAAATTCAGACTATAAGATTATTTATCATCATACGCTCACTAATTTATTTTTTCTACCACTATAAACTTTTGAGTTCACTGAATTGACGTAGCCACTGCAGATTACAGCACAAAAAAGGAGCACAAGCACTTCGGATCATTTCGACTTGTTTCGACCACAGACTTCTATAGTATACTAGACCGCTAGCTTCTTATGTACGCAGTGTTGCTGCGAAGTCGCGTTTTCGCGCATGCGCACTGTGCTGCTAGAAGAATGCAGTAATGTACATATATATGCACGTAAATGAGGGGCACCAACATGTACAGTTTTGGCGGGATCTCGCAGTAGGTAGAGACTGAGAAGGTTAAAGAGCGTAGGATAATTTTAATTATAATAATTAATTATAATGATATTACTAATTATTTTTGTTGCTGAGTTTATTCGTTTTAGATACGTGCCTCGAAAAGAAGAGATTTTGTGATTTATATATATAATTTAATATAATAATATAATATATAATGTAATTGTTCATGTATATAATCGTTAATATTCTTTGTAGA